AATTAAAAGTTATTTTTTTTTCAAAACAAATTAATTAATATATTTTTTAATAATTAATTTACATAAACAATATAAAAACTTATATTAATTTTTGTATTATTGACAGTTTTACAATTTTAATTGAGTAATTAATAAATTAAAAGTTATTTTTTTTTCAAAACAAATTAATTGTTAAAATGTGTATTAATTGAGTTTAGAAAAACCCTTAAACAATCTTAAAGAACTGTAGAAACTCCATATGAACATTAACAATCCGGTTAGCATTAAACAATGTCTTAACAATCCAATGTAGAGACTTGAAACCTTGCAAGGAGAGACTTAGATGTAGATCAACTTGTTAGTTGCAAATTTTAGTGAAACTAACAGTATTTGACAGAAGGTCAGATTTACCAATCGGCGTAACACCCATTCAGGCATCCAGATCTATTAAGAACTTTTGACCCAGTGTCCTTTCTCCAGCGTTCACCCCACGGAAACCATGGAATTTCCAACCCCTCAGTCTCCAATTGGCGTTTCAACATCATCTTCCATCACTACTGCTCAGAACAGATCCACAATCTCTAAACACATATTTTTTTCTTTGAACTTACAAGGATAACACTTTAATTTCTATGCCTAGAGATTCCTGGCAAATTGAAACTTACCACAAGCTACAACTATTAAAATTATTGAACAAAATTCCCATTCACTCTGAAAAAATAATACTATAATAATTGAACATATTAATATAAGCAAGAAATAACTTTCCTCAAGACAAATATTTATTTATCCAGATGACAAAACCCCTTTCAGCATATGCAGAGATACCGAGAATTTTGTAGACCAATTAGAAAAAACCAAATATTTATTTCATTGATTTGAACAAATCAGTGAAATTCCAGACAACAGCAAACAGCAGAATCAGAAAAATGCGGTGAAAGCAACACATCTTAAGGACATAAGAGCAAAAATCAAAGGAAGCAAAACCATCCAGCCATATGAATAATAGATGGGAAACCGCAACCAAACTTAGCAAGAGCCGGAAGATGTTGCAAGAATGATTGAATTCACCATATTCTCATTCAAATCATAAGCATACTGTTGAAAGGAAGATTAACAATCCAACACATATGGAAAAATAACCCAAAGCCAGGAAATTCACAAACTTTCCGCTCACATGAGATTATGAGAAGCTCCTAACAAACACCAGGAACCCCAGAATCAGAAAAATGAAATCAGGAGAACCAATTCCTCATATTCTCATGCAGAGCTGAAGCATACATGGGTCACAGAAGCAGATTCCAAAACCAAAAAAGTCATGAACTTTAGACTCACATGAAAGACTCTCAACCAAATAAGAACTACCCAGAATGCAGATCTCAATTAATACACCTCTGACATCTCCCCCACGCATTGATCACTGCGAAAAGGAGACAAAACCACCTGATGGGGGACCTTCTAGACGGACAATCAACATGGGGTCCTCCTCTCGAGCATAACGGTTGCCATACAGGCAGCAGAACCCCCAACAAATCACAGCTTCCAGCAAACTAAAAACTATGCTTTGCATTAAAATACAAAAAAGCAAAAACAAAGTTAATTTATTTAAACGAGTTAAATGAACATACAGGAGCAGGAGGATGAGGGCGTTTGTAGGTTAGAACAAGTTGGAAGAGACAGCGGGCGGCGGGACCCACGACGGCAATGGGATTGAAGCTACCAGATAAGTTACGTTTACTCATGGACAAAGCTAATGAAGGTAAAAGAAATGCACACATTCCTCCATCCACCAATGTTTGCGTCACACTATGCAGATTGCAGATGCATGCATACATATACACACATAATAAAGAAACAAAGAAAGAATCATTCTCTGCAATAATCTTGTTTCAAAAGAGTACATCTAAATGGAGAGGGAACATTTCATTGTAGTCACATGCGCTGTCAACTTAATATATGGTCTTTGAGGTTAATTTCAAAGATATGTACATACATTTAACTTAATCATTGTAAAGATTTTCTCTATTACAAAAGCAAAAACTTAGTCAAACTTAGAAAATTATATTAAAAAATATTTTTTTTATGATTATTTGTTTTTGTTTGGATGTAGCTTTGTAAGTACTTAGAGTGCTAAATCTCAAATCACCTTTCCCCAATAGTTAAGAAAACAAAAACATAATTATGTTAAATTAAATGGTGTCCCTATTACTAAATTGAACCAAAAACAAAATAAATAAATAAAGAGAGAAACTCAAGCATATCAATGTGTTGTTTGAAATTAAAAACGTAACACGGTATTTACTAGAAATAAAGAGTTTTAAGTTTTAAATTTTCTAAAATTTTAAGAGGTAGGAGTAATATATATATATTTTAATTATATGTGAAATTATAGTCCTATTAAAAAATTCAAGGAAAACAAATTAAGCATTTGAATGATAGAATTTAGGCATCTCAATATTATCATTCTCCATTTTTATTCTTCTGTATATTTTTGTTTTTTCTTTTTTTTATTTTTTTTTATAAGAAATCGTTGAGCTGAAATGAGAATTAATTTTATAAAAAAAAAAAATTGTCGGGCTGTGAGGTTAGTTAGGAGTTGGGCCACACAAAGCTCCCTGTATAATGAAGGCTGGTCCACGAAATCCTCCAAGCATCTACCTACGAGCATTTATATATATATATATATAGCCAATTTGCGGCTACAGAGCCTAGCCCAATATATCTCGGAATAGACCTGTGGCCAGTAATGTTAGAGCCGGGCCCGGCTGTTTCTCAAATTGGATCAGCCCAACACCCCACAACCGGGGCAAGAAGGAGAGAGTGAACAGTTATTATAAGGACATATTAGTAACTCTTTTTGGACGATATGGGACTCTAACCAAAACCGAAAACGACGTCACTTCGCATAAAAACTACAACCCCTTTTCTTCCAAGTGACGCCTCTGAGATTTTTTTTTAAAATATTAAAATCTCATTTTGGCTCCTCCATTTTTGTATAGTCTCGTTGGGTTTTAGAGTTTATTCTTCTGTTCTTTTAAATTTTTGTTTTTTCATGCATGATGTGTTAACTTAACAAAACTCTTGTTTTCATTTAAATTGATGATTGCATATGTAAAAATGCAAAAGCTCATGCTTTAACAGCCTCTTCTTTTTCTTCAAAAACAGATGGTATTCTCTAGCAAATCGGAGAGTGAAGAACTTAAAAAACTGAATTATAATAAAAAAATTTATGGTCATTTTTATTTGATTGGTTGTAGCTTTGTCAAAATTTAGAGTGCTATAAATCTCAATTTCCCTTTTTCAAAGATAAATAATAATAATAATAATAACTATATTAAGTTAAATGGTGTCCTTATTACTAAATTGAAGCCACCAAACAAAAACAAAA